CGCTGCTGCGGTGCGATTTTAGCCCTCCACCCACCGGCAGCACACACCTGTAAGAACCAGCTGACGTAGTCAGTTGATTTAGTTGGCCTGTCGTGTCTGTCCTTGGTTCTCTTGGGCTTTGAAGTGGTTGTGTTGGGGTGGGTGAGAATCGATGGCTTCCTTGTCGGCCCCATGGAAGGCTTGGCCTTTTGCCACCCACTGGCTGACTTGACTTCGTCGCCGGCCAAGCACGCAACGATTTGCGTGATGGACTGATGCCCCTGTGTGTGTTTATCGCGGCTGGGTGCGTGTATGACTCAGATGCGCTCATATACGGGGAGTCCGAGAGGAAACAGCGTGTGTGCCTGTCAGCCAGCCCCTCTTTGGCTGCAGGTGGTACTTCTCGATGGCGTGGAGGTCAAAGCTCACTCAGCATGCAGCTCCTTTTGCCGTGGCTTGTTGGGTGGGGTAGGAGAAGGGCAGGCATTTTGCTGCATAATACGTGTCTGCGTGAGTATGCCGATGGTATCAATCGGTTGACCGATAACAATGGGGGTCGACGGACTCGGTGACACTAGAACCGATCCACCATTTTAGCTGTCTTTGGCTGTGCTCAATTCTCCCTCGGCGTTTTCTGCCTGGCCATGGTCACTTTATGTTCCTGCTGGGGGCTGCGTGGGTGTATGGTGGCTGGCAGTCATGCCCTTGTTGGTACTAGTACTCTGTCATGGTGGCTTCGGCCGGTGACTGTCTGGGCGGTGGCTGCCTCGCGCCTTGGCGTGACGGTCGACTCACAACGAGGGGGACACGAGAATTGCATTAATTGAGTGATCGACTGTGCTGTGACAGCTATTTACATATTCGTCTCTCGCATATATGCATTCATGTGTCTGACATTGAAGCGTGAGTGAAACGCATTTACGCATTTACGCTTTGGCTCGCTTTTTTGATCGCGCTCTCTCTTTCATTCTCCGTTGGAATAAAGTTTTTTCTCTGAGTTGAATATCTCCATTGCTCTTCTTTGAGGACGGTCACAAGCGGCGATGATGACTCGCGTGTGGCGTGTTTGGCTCATCACTCTGCTGACGGTGCTTGTCACTCGTGCGGCTGCCCAAGAGGCCGAGGAGGGACGTGAGTGGTGAGTCACTCAGTCAGTCACTCACTCAGTCGGTCAGTCCATCACACTCTCTTTCATCTCACAGGTGTGGTGCTGCGGCCGAAGAGGCATTGCCTGCCTGGGACTACTGCGCTGACGGTGGCAATCCCGTGACCGTCGAGGTCAAGGCGGTGAGTGGCCCGAACCTCGACCCTTCCAGTGACGTCTTCCTCAAGCTCGTCGGCACCGAAGGAACAACACAAGACATCCGAATCGCAAGTGAGTATGTCACACACACAATGACAGTCTTTCACTCGGCCGCTCACTGTCTGCCTGTGTGATGGATGCGTGTCAAGGTGAGGAGGGCGGCACCAAGCGTCGGGTGCAGACGAGTGCGGCTGATGTTGGGCCGCTGGAGGCGGTGATAGTGCGGAGCGACAGCAAAGACAAGGCGGCTCACTGGCGCTGCAAGACCATCACCGTCTTCAGCTACTACCGATGGTTCCAGTGCGGCTGCACCGACGAACTCTCCGCCGCATCACCATCAGCCGTACGTAACTAACGCATCAGACAGGCGTCCATGCGCACCATGTCTGTCTGTGTGTTGTGGTCAGGAGTACACGTTGAGTGCGAGTGAGCCCTACGAGGTCACCATCGAAACGGGCGGAGACGACAAAGGTCAACCACACACACACAGCACAACACAACACAACACATGAAGGAATGAGTGCACTTCCCTCTCTGTGTCTCTGTGTGTGTGTGTGTGTGTGCAGCGAGTACACAGGGCAGCATCACCGGCGGCACGTCTGCTCACGTGCGCATCCGGGCGACCAGTGTGGGCAAGATCAAGGCCATCCGCCTCACCAACACGGCCGCAGACGACCCGTGGTTCTGTGACACTCTCAAGCTCAAGCGCCAGGACGGCAGTGCCGTGAGCTTCCGCGTGCGGCGATGGATCGGCACACCGTACCCCACGACGGCAGAGGTGGGGCTGGGCGAGGAGTCCGGCAGCTGTCACATCAGCTGCCGGACTCGACTCATCGGTGCCACGGGCAGCACGACACCAGAGGGCCCCAACATGATCAAAGTAACCACACCTGCCGGCCTGCCTGCCCGACACACCTGACACATGGATCTCTCTGTTCTGTGTGTGTCATGTGTCTGTTGTGCCGGTCAGGTGTTGTGTCCGTCCAACTACCAGGCAGACGAGGCGCAGTTTGTGTCCTCGTCCATCTGCGGCGCCACTCTCATCGTCACGGTTTGCAACCACACCAACCACACGCAGCAGCAAAAATACATCACTCTGTCTGTCTCTCTCTGTGTGTGTGTGTGTGTGCGTGCAGGAGGTCTCTTCATTGGGGACTTTGGGTGAGTTCACGGAGGCGAGTGCCCGGAAGGCGTGTCGGGATATGGGCTGTCATGACGTCGAGGGGGAGTACTACTGCGCCGTGGCCATGGGCGGCATCCACTGCAAGGGCGACGAGGAGAGCTTCCTCAAGTGCACCTTCGACGTCAAGTGCACCTTTGGCGCCAACCACATCTTGGACGTGGCCGTCATGTGCACCAACAACCCGCCCGCCAAGACACCCGCCAAGGGCACGCTGCGCATCCTCTCCGCAGCCGGCGCACACGCCAACGAGGGACGACTCGAGGTGAGAGAGCTAGTGAGGTCGTGGGCATGATCACACACACATACACACACATTCACGCCACGATTTCAATGATATGTCATCCATCTCCATCTCCATGTGTGTGCGTGTGTGTGTAGGTGTATCTGCCGAGCCGTGACCTGTCCAAGTGGTGGTCGACAGTGTGCGACGACAACTGGATGGCCGCGAGTGAGCGCATCGCCTGCCTCCAGATGGGCTACGCGGGTGCAGCCAGGGGCGGCGCACACAAAGAAAGCTGCACCGACTACAAAGGAGTGAACGTATGCGGACCCGCCGGCACAAGGTCAATGCACCACTCACAAAATGGACAGAGAGAGAGGCAGATATGAATGTGTGTATGTGTGTGTGTGTGTGTGTGTGTGTGGTTTCAGGATTATCTGCCTGATGGACTTCATGTGCGACGGCAGCGAATCACAACTCCTCCAATGCCCATACGTAATTACGTGGACATCCGACACACAACACACACAAATGCATCATGCATTTGTGTGTGTCCATCCCTCCATTCCGTTCATCTGTCATTCAGACGACGGGCAGCGACATTTACTGCTCCCACGACGAGGACGTTGTCGTGTCGTGTGAGGGCGACAACGGCGATCCCTCGGGCAGCGGACTGCACCAGAAAGACCCCCCGCCCACATTCGTCCACTACTCATTCCCCCCCAAGACAAAACTCACTTGCTCCGACACCATCGCCAGCAAGGTAGGTCCACACACACACACAGAGAGAGAGAGAGGAAATGCATGTGATATGTGTGTGTGTTGATGCAGCTTGGCGGCGGTGGGTTGGTGGGCACCACAGTGGTGGCGACGTGTGAGGGCAGCTGCAGTGATGCAGGGGTCCAAGTGGTGGGGACGCTCATCTACAGCGAGGCATCCCCCGTCTGCAAGGCTGCCGTCCATGCTGGCGTCATTGGCGACGGCGGCGGCGACGTCACCCTCACCCTCAAGCACCCCATCCACCATTACACCGGTCAGTCAGTCTGCCTCACACACACCACACCACACTCGTGGACTGTGTGTGTGGATGTGTGTCGTGGATGCAGGCACTAAGCGAGGCGAGATCACTTCTGTGTCGGCCGACATCGACGGCAGCAAGAGCTTTGTCGTCTCACGCCCGACGCCAAACGTGCTGGCGCGCCTTGCCGAGACCAAGCAGCCGCACTATGCCGGCGTGGGCGTCCCCCCTCCCACCACAAGCACAGCCACGACGGCCACGTCCTTCATGGAGGTCAGTGCCACGTCTGCCGCTGCGCCCACCGCTCTGCCGCACCCGCGGTACGCGCCCGTTGGCTGGCACGGATTCAATGGCGACAACTGGATCGCCGCCAGCGACCTGCCGGGTACAGTACCCTCACCCCGACACAACACAACACAGCCAACGACACTCCACTGCACTCGTGTGTGTGTGCGTCAGATGCTGACAAGGTGCGTGGGCTGACGAGCTTCTCGGTGGCGTGCCGTGTGCGTGTAATGGGCGAGCACACACACCGAATCAGCAACGGCTTCAGCCAGTGCAACGGCTTCAGCCTTAGTGTGGGTGACAACGACGAGCTGGTGTTCGACCAGATCTGCAGCCCATCGCCCGGCGTGACGTCGGGCAGCCGTGTCACCTACTTCCAACCAGGTCAACCACAATCCATCCAACACACACACACACACACACGTGTCTGTGTGTCCATGTGGTTAACCAACGATGCAGAGAAGTATGTGGCCATGTACGTCAACGGCCTGGCCACCGACTTCGAGTTCGAGCTGACCACCCGGCTGGCCATCGGCCGCCTGAGTGGCGACATCACGGCCGTCCACATATACGACTATGTCCTCTCACAAGACGACGTCAACAAGGTGACTGACTGACCACACGTGTGAGCGCATCACACGTATCACATCACACTCCCTCTCTGTGTGTGTGTGTGTGTCAGGACATGGACATGTCGTTTGAGCATCCCTTTGGCGGTGTGGGCACCTCCCGCCGACACACGACCGACGGCCGTCTCTGCACATCTCCGTGCAAGACCTCCCCGCCCCCTCCCGCCACATGCAACGTGACGACCGACTCGCTCGGCGGCGGGCGCGTGTCGATGCGCCGGCCGCACCCGCGATACGGCAAGCTCACCACTCGTGTCCTCTTTGGAATCCGCGAGAAGTCAGTTTCGGCCAGCCCTGCAGGCAGGCACTTCCCGGCATCCATTGTGCAGGACCTCAACGATGTCAGAGGTCAGCCAGCCCATCACCCACAACAGATACAGACACACAGACGTGTCTGTGTCTGTCAGAGTATGAGCACAATAGTGGTGGGCAGGGCATGGACGACTCTGACGTCTCGCCGAAGTTCGGTCCCTCCTTAGGCTTCGGAAAGTCAACGGTACAGACAGACAGACAGACAGAGGCATGGCTGTGCTGCTGTGTTGTGCACAGGGTGTGATCCCTTCTGTCGGCGCGATCGTCCCCGCGTGGTTCAACGAGATGGTGGTGCGGCCGATCCAGACTCAATGTGCGTAAGGAGATGCGTACACTACACAGGCACACACACATGATTGTTGTTTGACTGCGTGTGCCTGTGTAGTGTGGCTGCCACGCGTTACCAGGACCCCCACTGACACCACCACCACAGCCACAGCCACAGCAACCACCGCCACGGCCCCGGCCACCACCCCTGCCACAGCCACCAACAGAAACCAGCGTCGCAGGGGCAGGCGCGGCCGACGAGGGGGGGGTGCCGTCGGTCAGGTCCGTCGGTTCGTCGATAGAACCATCGTCAATCCGGGCGAGACCGAAGAACAGAGAGGTGAGTCGACTGAAGTGACACACGCCACATCATACTCATATCTCTCATGTCTGTCTTTGTCTCTCTGTGCGTGTGTGTGTGAAGTCGCGAGACACATTCGTCAAACAGCACTTCGAGCGTATAGAGAAATCACCGCAACCCCCGGCTTCAGATTTACGACTGTCAACATCCACACAACCCCCCCCACAAAAGACACCGACACACATGAGATGTCACGGTGGTGTTTGGTGTGTCAGATAACTGCAGAGGCGCTCGGATGGGAGCTGCACGACGCGACCCGCGCCCGGGCACCGGCCGGTGCCCGGCGCATGGCCGTTGCCTTCCAGATAACCCCGAGGTGGGACACGCAGCATGCACACGTACACACTAGGCACAGCTGCCTCACGCCGAGTGAAACGTTGATGTGTCTCCTCTCGCTGCACAAGGGCGGCCGGATATTTTGAAGTCATGGAGAATCGAGATCTGACCGAGCAAGAGCTGGACGCCATCAATCGCTTCTTGCAACAGCTGGTGGCGGCGGCAGGTAAGGACACACACGGTAACACACATAACCCTTGTATGTGTATGCCCGTGTGTGTGTGTTTTTTTGTTCAGACGCGTGAAGCGCACTCATCCCACACTCCACACCAACACTCAACCTCGTCAGCTCCGCACGTGCCACAGACACGACACAGAGAGACAGACACACCAGCACAACAATGAATGCAGCCGTGTCTGTGTGTGTGCGTATGTGTGTGTGTGCAGGTGTTTGGTTCGACGCTGACTGAGTCCAATGCCGACATCGTCTCGTGGGGCATCGACGACGTCACAGTGCACCTGCAGCAGTGAATCGACGGACGGATGAATGGATGGACTGACTGACACAGAACTGACTGACAATACGATAGATGCATGGGCGATGGTGGAAGTGAAAGACGAATTAATGGCGGTGCATGATTGTGCATTCAATCGATTCACGTCACAACACACACAAAAGTCACACCAGCAGGCCATCAGTCCAACACACAACACAATATATACAGGCCTCGCATGCAGCAGCAGACGTACAGAAAATTGTTGAATGGATGTCTTGATGCCTCAGCGTCGGTCGATGGCCTGCCTGACAGACGGACCATTTGCATGCGTCTGCGTGATGATCAATTGCTCGTGTCTATCCATACCAAGAGTCTTCACTCACTCAAGTGCACACACATACACGTGCATACATACCCACAGAGAGAGAGAGAGAGTGTGTGTGTGCACCCCGTCCGCCATGATGCACACCCCCATACGGAAAAACCCTTCCTGGCTGCCTGGCTGTCTGTCTGTCTGTCCTGCTACCCATTCACCGCTCTCCCTCCCCCCGCGCGCCACACCATGCCCCCCAGCACAATCGTCACGGCAGTGCACGCGATGCACCCGATGCTCATGGGAAAGCGACAAAACGGTAAAGCCCGCGATTACATTATGGTGCATCTACTCGTGTTAGGCGATACCTCCAAACTAGATAACCAATTTCTGTCGTGGTGCCACACCATTGTCCCCAGCTCATCCCCCAGTATTCTCATCACGGTAGCGTACATCTTGTCGCGAGGGGCCGACTCGGTCGCGTAGATACGAACACGGCTCTCCCTCAATACGATCACTGCCATGTGCCCCTCGCCCAGCACCTCACTGCCCAACACCACCAGCCGCTGCTCATGCCTCTTCTCGTCATCCATCCTGTCGAATACGGCGACCCCCGCCCCCCACTTTGCCGCATTGCCGGGAGAGGCAGCAAGCAGCGCTTTCACACGCCGGCTGGTAGCAGAGGCATCACAGTGCGACCACCAATCTCTGAAGTTGCGGATGCTTTCGCTGGGTAGCCAGCGAAACAGGACGATTGCCACCATGGATGTGTAGGTGGGGTAGAATAGGGAGTTGGGGCGTGTCCAGCAGTTCTGCTGTGTGGGCGGGTCGGCGGGATCGAATACACGAGAGAAGTGGCGGGCAGAGTCGAGGAGGGTGACGGGAGAGTAGTCGCCGAGGTCACAAATCTTGTCGCCGTCCATCAGTCGGTGGCGAATGCGAGTAGGGAGAGTGACCCCCCAGAAGAGTATCCTCCACTGCCGGACGGCTTCCCTCTCACTCATAAATGCCGCCCGGCTGCCGAAGACACCGAAGTTGCCATCACTCAGCACCAGTGGCCTCTTGCCTCTCAGATGATACAGTATCTCCAGCACAGGTTTCCATCTGGCCCACTTGCCGCCCCTGCCGAGCATAAACAGCCGGCAGTTCAGCTGTTCGACGAGGCATGCGATGCAGCAGCCGTGGCTGAGTGCGGCAGGGAGGGGCAGCTGGGGGATGACGCAAACCAGCAAGCCACCGAGGCCGAGAGAGGGCAGCAGCACACCCAACAGGCGCTGCAGGATGGGTAGCATGACGGCTGGCGTGAGTGCGCCATGGCGGGTCTTGTCGATGCGGTGAAAGGCGCACAAGCCGGCGTAGCTGGTGATGAATTGGGCGATGGCCGGCATGACTGCAGCAGGGACGGCTGAGAGGGGAACGCCCTCTCGCCTTCGCTGCCTCCCACGTGTGACCAGCGACACGTAGGCGAAGCATCCCGGGCGGGACGAGGATGTGCTAGACGTGGCAGCTCCCATCGCCGTTGTCGGTCTTGAACTTCACAGATCTGCCACAAACACACAGACGTCACACAGGCTGTCATCGCCGATGACCTCCCTCCTCCTTCGCACCCTCTCTCACCTGGATCTGTCCGAACGGCGTCACTCAGGGAGATGACGGCGGAATGGGTGTGGATCGATAGCATCACAGCAGCTCTTCGGGCGCTGCCAGAGGCTCCACACGTACGGCCCTGTTGTCACAAGGTGGAGGGGGAATCGCGGGACTTCTGCACGCCAAGCTCGCAGCGAGGCCCGAAGCATTTGAAGGCTATTAGGACACTCATCGAAGGCAAAAGGAATGCCAGAGAAGCAGATGAAGCATCGAAATGCCGCAAACAGCTTCCATTTTCGTATGTCCAACGTGTGTCTGTCTGCTGTTGCATGTCTGCAGATCTCCCTGCGCATCTGAGTCATACACGCACCCAGCCGCGATAAACACACACAGGAGCATCAGTCCATCACGCAAATCGTCGTGTGTTTGGCCGGCGACGAAGTCAAGTCAGCCAGTGGGTGGCGAAACGCCAAGCCTTCCATGGGGCCGACAAGGAAGCCATCGATTCTCACCCACCCCAACACAACCACTTCAAAGCCCAAGAGAACCAAGGACAGACACGACAGGCTAACTAAATCAACTGACTACGTCAGCTGGTTCTTACAGGTGTGTGCTGCCGGTGGGTGGAGGGCTAAAATCGCACCGCAGCAGCGATCAGATGTCCGCCAACGATGGCAGGCAGCGGAACGAGCTGCGCTTTGCCCCCCGCCAGTGGGCAGCAGCGCCGTGTGCTTGTGCAGGTTGTGTATGGTGTGTGCAGTGCGGGGCCGCCGACCAAAACCGCGGGGCGGACGAGAGGTCGAAGCTGACTGAAATGGCAGTAAGTCAATACATACGTCAACATGCATGGGTCACCCACCATTCAACACGCTCATCGATCCATCCAACAACCATCGGCCACAGAAGGGCCATTCGCATGAGAGCAAAGAAAGCCCCACCAGCAATGCCCACATCACTCACACACGCAGACCGCTGACCACCCACCACCAATCGATGCAGGCACAACCGAGAAGAGGAGAGAAGGCCCACACACACGTTGTGTGCCGTCGATGGATGCATGGGTACCGTACACACCCGCCCGCCACAATCGCCGCACTCTCTGTCACTCCCTCCGCCCAACCACAGCCCTGCTGGCCTGCCTGTCTGCCTCCGCTCAGTCAGTGTCGGTCGGTCGGCGGCGCATTCGTACGCCCATCCATCCAACCAAACGAATGCGACCTGCACGCGATGCAGCCAGTCATACGAACCGACCTCACTCGAGCCAAAAGGGCCCTGATGCACGTGTGTGTGTCTGGCTCGTCTGTGTGGGGCGTGGGAGCCATTGCGGAGACCGAAGGAAGCAGCAGTAGAAAGCGTGCATTGGATGCATCGAAGGGGGCTGACAGAGCACACGGACACGCAATGCAATGCAATGCACGGCCGGCCGCCGTACCACCAGAGAGAGGATAATCAGAAGAGACAGTGTGTGCTGTTGGTGCGCATGTGTGTGCCTGAGTGGGTGGGTGGGCGTGTCGCGGGCCGCTAACCAAAACCGCTGGATGACAAAAGGAAGCCTGCGAATGAATGGTGGACCACAAATGTGGAGTCAGTCAGTCAGTTCGTCAGTCAGTCAGTCAGTCAGTCAGTCAGTAGCAAGCCACACAGATGCCTCGGATCGACCTTTGTGTGCTCGTGGTGCGCATGTGTGTCTTGGCGGTCCGGGGTGATGTGGTGTGAAGCGGGCCGCACCCAAAACCGCCAAAGCAGGAGAGGAGCAGTGAGTGAGTCTGTGGGTGCAGTAAGGTAAGCCTATACATCCATATACAGCACATGGTGAGTGGAGTAAGTCGAATAAATACGCAGTCAGTCAGTCAGTCAGTCGTCGACATGGATGCACACACACATCTCACGCACTGCACCCAGCCGCACTCACCCAGGCCCCTGACCGACACCATCCATCCATCCATCCACACTCCACCAACCGACCTCCCGCCCCCGACAAGCACCACCACCACCACCAGCAACCGATTGTTTCGGTCAACGAGAACACCGCCGACGCACATAAGAAGTAGACAGACGGGGAGTAGACAGCGACAGACACACCACACCCACGCACACGAACGAAAAGGGAGTGTCCGCACCATACGGAGGGACGAGAAGAAAACGAGAAAGCGGCGTCCGCACCATACGGAGGGACGAGAAGAAAACGAGAAAGCAGCGTCCGCACCATACGGAGGGACGAAAAGAATACGACAAAGGAGAAGAAAAGGCAACGGGTAGGGCTGCTGACTCAAACGCAATACAATACAACACACTAATTAACAAAGGTACATCCATACCATGGACAAAAACAAAAAACAGCCATCCTCCCCCGTCTGTCTACGTATGGAGGCGCGGGGGCCTCTTCTCGTGGTGGCAGTGGGTGGTGGGTGGTGGGTGGGGTGCTTCTCGTCGGCGGAGAGGGCACAGACGCTGCGGGCGGGCCGATGGCCGAACGACTTCAGC